GGACTCCTCTCCTTCCTCTATAACTCTCCTCTCCTGAAATACTCTGCTCTGCTGGAGGACTCCGCTCCTTCCTCTATAACTCCTCTCCTGAAATACTCTGCACTGCTGGAGGACTCGGCTCCTTCCTCTATAACTCTCCCCTCCTGAAATACTCTGCTCTGCTGGAGGACTCCGCTCCTTCCTCTATAACTCTCCCCTCCTGAAATACTCTGCACTGCTGGAGGACTCCGCTCCTTCCTCTATAACTCTCCTCTCCTGAAATACTCTGCACTGCTGGAGGACTCCTCTCCTTCCTCTATAACTCCTCTCCTGAAATACTCTGCTCTGCTGGAGGACTCCGCTCCTTCCTCTATAACTCCTCTCCTGAAATACTCTGCGCTGCTGGAGGACTCCGCTCCTTCCTCTATAACTCTCCTCTCCTGAAATACTCTGCTCTGCTGGAGGACTCCGCTCCTTCCTCTATAACTCCTCTCCTGAAATACTCTTCTCCTCCTAGTGTTTCTACATTAACTTTTTTTTCAGTGATCAGTCCCTAAAGCTCTGATGCCCACCCTTCAGCCTAAGGGCCACATGCAAACCTTTGGTGTTTGCAGTGTGGCCCTCAGGCCTTAGCAGTCAGTTGATTTGTAAAGGGGCTTTTAACAGCAGTGATCCTTGCAGTCACAAGTAACATGTCCCTGGTCCAGGGCAGCCATGGGGGGGAGGAGACAGCCTATATCAGACGTGTGCCTAGAACCTTCAGGGCCCTAATGCAAGAAACCATGAAGAGCCCCCATGACTCCCCATCCTTACATCACGGACTGCAGCAATCCCCTTTACATCAGGGTCTGCAGAGTTCCTTTTTTCATGAGTTCCCCTTTACATCACAGTCCACAAAGTTCTTTCTTACATAACAGTCCACAGAGTTCTCCTTTACATCAGAGTCCACAGAGTTCTCCTTTACATCAGAGTCCACAGTGTTCCCCCTTACAGTGTAAGGGAGAACTCTGCAGACCCTGATGTAAAGGGGAACTCGGAAGCAAGGGGGAATGCTGCAGATTCTAGTGTAAAGAGGAACTCTGATGTAAGGTGGACTACAGTCATCAGAGCCCCCCTTACAGCAGAGTCTACAACATTCCCCTTTACATCAGGGTCCACAGAATTCTCCCTTACACCATATGGGGGTATCCTGCAGACTTTGATGTAAAAGGGATGATGTGGAGGGGGGACTCTGGTGACCGCAATGACCCCCTATTGACTCTGTGTAGCCTAGCTGGAGCTCTCACACCAACCTCACTTCCTCTATTGCTCGGGTGCGGGGCAGGCTCAGTCATCGTCATCCTCTTCTTCAACTCCTGGTGCTCCCCCTCTTTATATTTCCTGCCCATTCAGTGCAGTTTGTCATCTCTATCACAAGTAACATTTGTCCCATATTTGTGGATTTGGGCGCCATATTGTTGAAGACCAACTCCGCTCTGTGTATATAGGCAGATGTATATGGGCAGACATCAACAAAATGGCGGCGGCAATGGAGACATTGGCTTGGTAGGGGGGCCAAGCTCCTGGTGATAGAGAGAGGTCCTGTCAAGACTGGTGCCTGGAGTGTGTCTCTGCTGATGTTGTGCAGAATTCTCATCTCAGCAGCGGCCTTGTGCTGTCCTATCCTCCTCTTTTCTACAGATGCCACCGCACCTGCCCGACTCCCGAGCCCCCCATACCTGAGCACCATTTGGCCGTCTTGGGGCCCCCCCCACCACAGTGGTGGGACGTCAGGACCCGGTTGCAAGTGTGACCTTTGCGACCCCAGTAGTTCCGCTACTGGCTCATACACATGCAGGGAGCCCAGGCATCACGAGGGGTCAGCCAGGTTCCCTTAACCTGCCCCCTTTGCTACAGCTTCCTTTGTTTGGCCGGCGGTGGCGGGTGGGCGACACGTGGCCGGTGCTGGTGGAGAGCGGTTCAGTCAAACTGAGGGAAGATAATAGAGAGTCTGAGAGTAGAGAGCGGCATCTGGAATCACTGACAGCCGGGATAACAGTTTAATTGGATGGTGGTGGTGTTTGAAGAGGAAGAGGGAGCTTTCTCGGACTGGCCAGCCCATTGGATGTGTAGGTGCTACAATGCTGCTGCACAATTCCTATACCTGTGAGCTGAGCTGACATTCCTGCAGACTGGGATTATACGGATGCTGCGGGGATAAATGTGGATGTGGGCCTGTGCTGTGACTGTCTCTTTGCTGGCTGAGAAAAAAAAAGTCACAAAAAGTCCCAAAAAGCCGGTTTGCGGCGCTTTACTGTGTTTTCAGCGTTAGAGCGTTTTTACAGCTAAAAAATTCCTCTTGAAACCCACTAGTTCTGGGTGTTTTTCCAGCCAAAAAACTTTAATTCAGTCTCTGTGTGTACAGACACATAGGATGACATGCCGGGGATGGACACATAGGATGACATGCCGGGGATGGACACATAGGAGAACATGCCGGGGGATGGACACATAGGATGACATGCCGGGGATGGACACATAGGAGGACATGCCGGGGATGGACACATAGGAGGACATGCCGGGGGATGGACACATAGGATGACATGCCGGGGATGGACACATAGGATGACATGCTGGGGATGGACACATAGGAGAACATGCCGGGGATGGACACATAAGAGAACATGCCGGGGATGGACACATAGGAGAACATGCCGGGGATGGACACATAGGAGAACATGCCGGGGATGGACACATAGGATAACATGCCGGGGATGGACACATAGGAGAACATGCCGGGGATGGACACATAGGAGAACATGCCGGGGATGGACACACAGGAGAACACGCTGGGGATGGACACATAGGAGGACATGCCGGGGATGGACACATAGGATGACATGCCGGGGATGGACACATAGGATAACACGCCGGGGATGGACACATAGGATGACATGCCGGGAATGGACACATAGGATAACACGCCGGGGATGGACACATAGGATAACACGCCGGGGATGGACACATAGGATGACACGCCGGGAATGGACACATAGGATGACATGCCGGGGATGGACACATAGGATGACATGCCGGGGATGGACACTAGGATGACATGCCGGGGATGGACACATAGGAGAACATGCCGGGGATGGACACATAGGAGAACATGCTGTGGATGGACACATAGGAGAACATACCGGGGATGGACACATAGCATGACATGCCGGGGATGGACACATAGGAGAACATGCCGGGGATGGACACATAGGAGAACATGCCGGGGATGGACAAATAGGATGACATGCCGGGGATGGACACATAGGATGACATGCCGGGGATGGACACATAGGAGAACATGCCGGGGATGGACACTGTTAGGAATGGACTGGCCAGCAATGGTGGGACTCACCTGCCTTTTGATCTGCAGTACCAGGGCTGGCCAGCGGGTGCTCCCAGCAATCAGAGACTCAACCTTTCAGCCAGCTAACACCTGGAACTGATGATGCTGGGGTATTTAAGGGATGGCCAGACCCACAGACTCTGCCTTGGTGTTGTGTTTGTCCTGGGCCCTGTATCTGTCCTGCATCCTGTTTCTGTCCCTCTGCCTGACCCTCTGTACTACGCTGCTTGTTACCTGTTTTGATCTCTGGCTTGTGACCCTGACCATCCCTCTGCCTGACCCTCTGTACTACGCTGCTTGCTACCTGCTGAACCTGGCCTGTGACCCCGACCATTCTCTGCTTGCTCCCCCTGTACCTACCTGCCCAATTGATATTGACCCGGCCTGCCTGACGACGCTTGCTTGTATGTACTGTTATCTGTGGGTGGTTTGGTTTGTTTGCACTGTATTATGTTTAGTATTGCACTGCGTTTATGTTTGTATTGTTAGTGTTAATAAATTGTATTGTTTATCACATATCTGAAGTCTGCGTTTCCCTGCATCAGTCACACACACCTCTGGTCATACCTGGGAGCCCTGACATTACACCAAGGCCAATCCTGACCAGAAGTGGCTGCACAGGGAAGCCATCTTGGCTTGTTGTTGGGAAGGATGGATCTTGATGAGGTTGTGTATTTATATCTGCTAGTGTTTGATGACAGGGGAGTATGCTTATCAAACTCTGAAGGAGTATCCCCGGGATGAACTGCTAGAATGTATACGGCTCGCTCATGTTCTAGTAGATCAGGGCACAGAGTTCTCTGAGGTGCAGCCTTTGACTGAGGTTTGTGCAGAGTTGGTTTCATCTGGTACCCCCGAATGCAGGGATGAATTTTTGCCACCATTTAGTGCAGACCAGGTAGAGTCCCTGGTGTGGTTATTAGAGGATGATGTGGGTTACTTTCTGGAGCGTTATTCCACATGTTCACCACAGACACTAAGAGATTGTATAAACGCAGTGCAGTCATTGACCAGACAGGCTTTGTGTAAGCTCAGCTTTGTTCAACCCATACTGCAGACATGGACAGACTTGTTGCACCCAGCCTCAGTCAGCTTACAAAGACCCAGTCCTGCTTCTAATCTATTTCCTCAAAGCTCTATTCCTGCATTCCCAACAGCTCCTCCTGCCCTGCTATCTACCGCATGTCAGTCCCTGTTCCCACTCGCTGCACCTATCCTGCCTTTAACCCTGTAAAAGAGAGCCCTCTGTAGCAACTGCTCCCTCCCCTGTTCCATCCTCCAGTTCTTCTCTGTCTCCAGCTGCTCCATTCGTTTGCAGACCTGCGTTTACTTGCAGTGCTCCAGTAGTTAAAACCAGAAAAAAGCGAAAATTCTTTCCAACCAATACCATCCTGCCAGTATCCAAACCAGTGAACCTGCCTTCCGTGGTTCAGCCTGAAGCCTCTACTCGGCCTGATGCCTCTACTCGGCCTGAAGCCTCTACTCGGCCTGAAGCCTCTACTCGGCCTGAAGCCTCTACTCAGCCGGACGCCGGCATTCAGCCTGATGCCTCTACCCAGCATGATGAACTGATCCAGCCTGACGATCCTATTAGGCCAGTTGACTCGATGCCCGCTGTTGATCCAGATGATCCGGTACCTGATCCGGTGCCCGCTGTCGAGCCAAATGACCTGATGCCTGGTGACCCAGTGCCCGCTGTCATACCTGGTGACCCGATGCCCGCTGTCGAGCCAGACAATCCGGTACCTGATGACTTGGTGCTCACTGTCGTGCCTGTTGACTCGGAGCCCACTGCCTTGCCAGATGACGCGGTGCCCGCTGTCGAGCCAAATGACCTGATGCCTGGTGACCCAGTGCCCGCTGTCCAGCCAGACGATCCAATGTCTGACCCAGTGCCCGCGGTCATACCAGTTGACTCGGAGCCCACTGCCTTTCCAGATGACGCGGTGCCCGCTGTCGAGCCAAATGACCTGATGCCTGGTGACCCGATGCCCGCTGTCCAGCCAGACGATCCAATGTCTGACCCAGTGCCAGCGGTCATCCCAGTTGACTCGGAGCCCACGGTTGTGCCTGGTGACTCGGTGCCCGCCACCCCGCCTGGGGGCCTGAGACCTGTCGTTCCGCCTGGGGGTCCGGCGCCCGCCACTCCGCCTGAGGGTCTGAGACCTGTCGCTCCGCCTGGGGGTCCGGCGCCCGCCGCTCCGCTTGAGGGCCCGAGACCTGTCGCTCCTCCTGGGGGTCCGGCGCCCGCCGCTCCGCCTGAGGGCCCGAGACCTGTCGCTCCGCCTGGGGGTCCGGCGCCCGCCGCTCCGCCTGAGGGGCCCGAGACCTGTCGCTCCGCCTGGGGGTCCGGCGCCCGCCGCTCCGCCTGAGGGCCCGAGACCTGTCGCTCCGCCTGGGGGGTCCGGCGCCCGCCCGCTCCGCCTGAGGGCCCGAGACCTGTCGCTCCATCTGGGGGGTCCGGCGCCCGCCGCGCTCCGCCTGAGGGCCCGAGACCTGCTGCTCCGCCCGGGGGCCCGAGACCTGCTGCTCCGCCCGGGGGCCCGGTGCCTGCTGCTCCGCCCGGGGGCCCGGTGCCTGCTGCTCCGCCCGGGGGCCCGGTGCCTGCTGCCCCGCCCGGGGGCCCGGTGCCTGCTGCCCCGCCCGGGGCCCGGTGCCTGCTGCTCCGCCCGGGGGGCCCGGTGCCTGCTGCCCCGCCCGGGGGCCCGGTCGCCCCGCCCGGGGGCCCGGTGCCTGCTGCCCCGCCCGGGGGCCCGGTGCCTGCTGCCCCGCCCGGGGGCCCGGTGCCTGCTGCTCCGCCCGGGGGCCCGGTGCCTGCTGCTCCGCCCGGGGGGCCCGCTGCCTGCTGCTTCGCCTGGTAATCCGATGTGCCTCTGCCCGGAGTCCTGCCCGATGTGCCTCTGCCCGGAGTCCTGCCCGATGTGCCTCTGCCCGGAGTCCTGCCCGATGTGCCTCTGCCCGGAGTCCTGCCCGGTGTGCCTCTGCCCGGAGTCCTGCCCGTGTGTGCCTCTGCCCGGTGTGCCTCTGCTCGATGTGCCTCTGCCCGGAGTCCTGCCCGATGTGCCTCTGCCCGATGTGCCTCTGCCCGGGAGTCCTGCCCGATGTGCCTCTGCCCGATGTGCCTCTGCCCGGTGTGCCTCTGCCCGATGTGCCTCTGCCCGGAGTCCTGCCCGATGTGCCTCTGCCCGGAGTCCTGCCCGGTGTGCCTCTGCCCGGTGTGCCTCTGCTCGATGTGCCTCTGCTCGATGTGCCTCTGCCCGATGTGCCTCTGCCCGTGTGCCTCTGCCCGGAGTCCAGCCCGGTGTGCCTCTGCCCGGAGTCCAGCCCGGTGTGCCTCTGCCCGGAGTCCAGCCCGGGTGCCGCTGCCCGGAGTCCTGCCCGGTGTGCCAGTCTTTGATATCCCGCCAGTTACCAGACCCGGGCGGTGGAACATTTTGCCCAGCTAGGACTGTTTGGAGCGTCCTGAGGCCGCTCCTTGGGGGGGGGGGGGGGGTACTGTTAGGAATGGACTGGCCAGCAATGGTGGGACTCACCTGCCTTTTGATCTGCCGTACCAGGGCTGGCCAGCGGGTGCTCCCAGCAATCAGAGACTCAACCTTTCAGCCAGCTAACACCTGGAACTGATTATGCTGGGGTATTTAAGGGATGGCCAGACCCACAGACTCTGCCTTGGTGTTGTGTTTGTCCTGGGCCCTGTATCTGTCCTGCATCCTGTTTCTGTCCCTCTGCCTGACCCTCTGTACTACGCTGCTTGTTACCTGTTTTGATCTCTGGCTTGTGACCCTGACCATCCCTCTGCCTGACCCTCTGTACTACGCTGCTTGCTACCTGCTGAACCTGGCCTGTGACCCCGACCATTCTCTGCTTGCTCCCCCTGTACCTACCTGCCCAATTGATATTGACCCGGCCTGCCTGACGACGCTTGCTTGTATGTACTGTTATCTGTGGGTGGTTTGGTTTGGTTTGTTTGCACTGTATTATGTTTTAGTATTGCACTGCGTTTATGTTTGTATGGTTAGTGTTAATAAATTGTATTGTTTATCACATATCTGAAGTCTGCGTTTCCCTGCTTCAGTCACACACCTCTGGTCATACCTGGGAGCCCTGACAGACACATAGGAGAACATGCCGGGGATGGACACATAGGAGAACATGCCCGGGGATGGACACATAGGAGAACATGCCGGGGATGGACACATAGGATAACATGCCGGGGATGGACACATAGGATAACATGCCGGGGATGGACACATAGGATAACATGCCGGGGATGGACACACAGGAGAACATGCCGGGGATGGACACACAGGAGAACATGCCGGGGATGGACACACAGGAGAACATGCCGGGGATGGACACACAGGAGAACATGCCGGGGATGGACACGTAGTAGAACACGCCGGGGATGGACACGTAGGAGAAACACGCCGGGGATGGACACGTAGGAGAACACGCCGGGGATGGACACGTAGGAGAACACGCCGGGGATGGACACGTAGGATAACACGCCGGGGATGGACACACAGGAGAACATGCTGGGGGGTTTACTGGCTGTAGAAAAAAATGTCAAAAGCCAAAAACAGCCGCTGTAAGAATGTCCCGTGTGCTGGAGGATTTAGGAAGGAGAGGTGAAATGTGGCGTCAGGCTTCAAAACATAATTCCTTTAGGGCTTGTTATCACTAGATTCAAAACATGGCACTGGACACACTTTTGTAAAGCGCTCTGAACGCCCATCAAAGCCTCTGTCACTAAATACAATACGTAGCTTACAGTCCTGTTTACACGTTGTGTTTGCTTTGCTTCAAATATTATCCCCCGTGTCGCTTTAGTGGTGCTTCAAAGTGTCGTCAGTGCCTCCATGGAAAGTCTATTACAAAGCTTCATTAAAGCATCATAGAAGCACCACCGAAGCATCATAGAAGTCCATTACATGGGACAGGGCACATTACATGGGACAGGGCACATTACATGGAACGGGCACATTACATGGGACAGAGCACATTACATGGGACAGAGCACATTACATGGGACAGGGCACATTACATGGGACAGAGCACATTACATGGGACAGGGCACATTACATGGGACAGGGCACATTACATGGGACAGAGCACATTACATTGGACAAAGCACATTACACGGAACGGGGCACATTACACGGGACAGAGCACATTACATGGAATGGGGCATATTACATGGGACAGAGCACATTACATGGGACAGGGCACATTACATGGGACAGGGCACATTACATGGGACAGAGCACATTACATTGGACAAAGCACATTACACGGAACAGGGCACATTACATGGGACAGGGCACATTACATGGGACAGAGCACATTACATGGGACAGAGCACATTACATTGGACAAAGCACATTACACGGAACAGGGCACATTACATGGGACAGGGCACATTACATGGAACAGGGCATATTACAGAAGAAAAGGGCACATTACATGGGGCAGGGCTCATTACATTGGACAGAGCACATTACCTGAGACAGGACATTGGACAGAGCACATTACATGAAACGGGGCACATTACATGGAACAGGGCACATTACATGGAATGGGGCACATTACACGGGACAGGACACATTACATGGGGCAGGGTACATTACACAAGAACAGGACACATTACATGGAACAGGGCACATTACATGGGACAGAGCACATTACAGGGGACAGAGCACATGGCACATTAAATGGGACAGGGCATTTTACATGGGACAGGGCACATTACATGGGACAGGGTATGGTACATTGCATGGGACAGGGCACATTACAGGGGGCAGGGCACAGGGAACAGGGCACATTACATGGGACAGGGCACATTGCATGGGACAGGGAGCATTACATGGGACAGGGCACATTACAGGGGGCAGGGAACATTATATGGGACAGAGCACAGAGCACATTACATGGGACAGAGTACATTACAAGGGACAGGGCACATTACATGGGACACAGCACTTTACATGGGACAGAGCACATTTCATGGGACAGGGAGCATTACATAGGACAGGGCACATTACATGGGACAGGGCACATTACATAGGACATAGAACTTTACATGGGACAGGGCACATTACATGGGACAGAGCACTTTTCATGGGTCAGGGCACATTACATGGGACAGGGCACATTACATGGGACATAGAACTTTACATGGGACAGCGCACATTACATGGGACAGAGCACTTTTCATGGGTCAGGGCACATGCTATGGGACAGACTGTTGGGCACATTGTGTGGGACAGACTGTTGGGCACATTGTGTGGGACAGACTGTTGAGCACATTGTATGGGACAGACTGTTGAGCACATTGTATGGGACAGACAGACTGTTGGGCACATTGTATGGGACAGACTGTTGGGCACATTGTATGGGACAGACTGTTGAGCACATTGTATGGGACAGACTGTTGGGCACATTGTATGGGACAGACTGTTGGGCACATTGTATGGGACAGACTGTTGGGCACATTGTATGGGACAGACTGTTGAGCACAGTGTGGGGGACACAGTTGGGTACATTACTGTACTGACTCCCTTCTTCTGCCTGGGTTCAGAAGCGGCTTTCAACAGTCCTCTGGTGGTGTGTTTTTTCCCGCCGGCCCCTCCTCCTCCTCTCCTATTCTCTCCATCCCAGATGATGTCGCATACAAGCACCCGTGATGGACAGGAGGGGTGGGGGGAACAGTGTAAACAGCCAATAATATGCCAGCCGCTTCCCTGCACGTGTGTCCATGCGATCTACCTGTCAGCTGCCTGCGACCGTCAGATCACCACGGAACCCTGTTTGAGAAACACTGTGTTAGGCAAATTAGGCGGCAGCAAGGCCTTAGGCAACTGCCTAATTTGCCTAATTAAAGAGCCACCTCTGGCCTAACAAGTGTTCATGTGATTCATGTGTGCTGCATTTTACCAAAGATCGCTGTGTTTCTTCAGCCAGAAGAAACGGAGATCGTCGTCTCTGTACAAAGCCCTGTGTTGAATGTCAACACAGAGCTCTGGGATGTGATTGGACGCAGCCAATCAGCAGGTCCTGGCCATGAATCATTGACCTATTGTGTACAATCACAGCAGGATGTTGAGGCTGGGGTTGTGCTCACACTCTCTGTACCAGGAAGAGGCCCGGGACGTACAGGTATGACGCTGTGCCTGTAGGGGGCGCCCATCCACAGTACATTGCGGGGGAGGGGTCCTTAAGTCGTTCACGTCTGTAGCTCCTATTTTTCTGGTAT